CCCCCCGGGGGGGGGGGGGTGGAGATGTTCTCGCTAGCGCTCTGACGCTCGTTGTTTCCATCTTTTTTAGGCTGTGAGTCAGATGTTCGGAAAGTCGCAGGTTGACGGAGACTCATCATAGTTCGCCATCATTTATTAATAGTTAGTTAGTGCTCCACAATAGACATTTATGATTTTATTTTCCTCATAGAGATGTATTTCATCTGGAGGCTGAGTGCCTATATACTTTTCAGTTAACTTTTTTGTATTTGAGATTCATTGTCTTTATTTCGGTTTATTAGATGCACTTCTTTTCTTTTGTTAGAACATAATTATAAATGCTATTGGATATTTTCTCTATATTATATTCATTGCATTATTATCTTTACTATATCTGCTTGTACCCTCACTTTTTGTATTTGATTCTACTAGGGAGATATTACTGTGATGGTAAAACAAGTTGTTGCACAGTGTTGGGTGTATGACATGTTAACATCCTTGGGTTCACATTGGACTGCAGCCTTGTGTGAAACTAGGGGTTTCACACATTTTAGTAAATAACCCTTTTGAAGCAGGCCTGTATATAGCGCTAGCTCTTCCTAATCCTCGAAGTATTAGACCTCTGTTGTCCTGTAGGAATAAGAATGATGGGACTAATTAGTCGATTATCCTCTGTATATATATCATTAAGATTAGGGTTAATCTCGGCCTTAACTCATATCAATATCTCACCGAGCTTGCATTGTTTTGCTGCCATTCATCAATCTCTCTTTTCCATATTTAAAAAAAAAATATGTACAGTTATGATTGGAGGTTAGTTAAAATGAAGCAGGATTAGATAAGTGATGGTCTGTGAGAAATCTTATAACAGAAGCTAAGGGATTAGATTGGATTAGTATATTGGTTTAGTATTTGAGTTTAGATTTTGATTATAAGTCAGTTAAACAAAAGCTAAGGGATTAGATATTTGAGGTATATAAATTAGTATTTGGGTATTTTTGTATACAGAAAGCTTTTCACAAACTCGTACTTTTAAAATGAGTGTGATTTATAAAAATAATTGAAGATTAATGGAAAGGTCTATCTGGAAAAGAAAAGTTTAACAAGTGTGCAACAATGTCGTTGTAGTATAGTGGTGAGTATTCCCGCCTGTCACGCGGGTGACCCGGGTTCGATCCCCGGCAACGGCGAATGTTTTGTTTAAGTTTTAGTACAGCTCTTCCGTGTTAATACCTTTTTAAAAATTCCCACTTTATTTTTATACTTTACATTCGTTTCAACCTCCCCCCATCTTTTCGCTTTCCAGCAACCTACCGACACCTGGGTCAACTCTCATTCTACTCGTCTCTTTAATTTCTCATTTTACCCAAATTATGTTATTTAATTCATGTATAATTACTAATTGCCTTCGATTTCGTTACGGATTCTTTTCATTTATGTGAGTTTGATTAGAAGCGGAGAATTTTTTTTTTTTTGAGGGGAATTCGCGTCGAAGAGGGAGTGAGAAAGACGGCGGATTTGCTGGAGCCGGGAGACTGAGGCCAATTTGGGCAATATTTGGGCCGGATTTGAACATAACCAGAGTGCGGCCTGTACATGAGGAAAGGGAGTAGAGAATGCTTTGGAGGCCCATTCTGGGCCTTGTACTTGACTCTAATAGCGGACTCAGTTTGATCGGGCGTAAACTCTAGGTCAGATCATTAAATTTGGGCCTCTTTATACGCGTAAATTAAACGCATAGCGTAAACTATAAGTCCGCGTCAAGTATACGCAGACGAGTATAATTAACAATACCAGACGCATAGTTATACGCTTCTGCGTAAACTATACGCGGACGCGTGACAAACGCGTGATCTCCTTTTTATAAATATATAATGGCGATCGATCTCACATTCTCACTCCCTCTCGCTCAGTTTCAAATCTTGAAGAGAGGGGAAAGAGAAAGAGACAAGAGGCGATGGAGCCCAAACCCTAGCGAGCAAAACCCTAGCGTTGTTAAGAGGAGAATGGGTAATTCATTTTCCCCTTTTTTTTTGCGATTTCTAAGATCTTTATGATAGATAATGTTTACTAGATTTACTTGCCTTAAAAAAACAACTTGCAATTGAATTTCAAAAATCTCGAGATTAAGAGCATCTCCAACCACAAAACCCAAAATGGTGTAGTTTTTACATCAAGTTGGTGTAGTTTTTACACCAAATCACTATTCCATCTCCAACCTATTACTCCAAAAAGAATATTCCTTTTATTATTCTTATCTTTTAACATTTTATCTATTTAAAATATTTAACAAATTATATAATTATATAATACATTACATATAATTAATTATAATAATATATTTTATGAATAAAATAAAAATATAAAAAATTAAATGTTAAATTAAATTAAAATATTATTTTCATAAATTCAACTAAAGATTACATTTAACATCACAAAAAAAACATCACACTTGCAAGCAAAAAATAAAAATAAAAGGCATTACATTTTTATGTCCTAATTTTTATCTAAATGGTTTAGTTTTTCTTATTTCTTTTTGAATTTTATTTTAATAATTATTTTATACTCTAATTTCATTTATAATAATTAATATAAAATAATATATATTATTAATACAAATATAGAACACAAAAGCAGAAAGAATAAAGTTTAGAAAAAAAGCAAAAAGAAAAGAAAATATGAATAAAAGAATATAGTTTAGAAGAAAAAAAGCAAAAAAAAAAGAACTGCTGCGCTATTGCTACAGTGTCGCGCCATTTCTGGTGCAGCAATGTAGCACCCCGCTAATTTAGCGGGGTGTTTGGCGCTCCATTGGAGCGCCAAAACACTCCAAAATGGAGTTTTGGCGCTCCATTGGAGTTGCTCTAACTAGCAGTTATGGGATGGTATATGTATTTGTATCGATCTGAGAGATTTTAGTTGTTATCCATGAGGAAAATTTTAGTTTCATCTTTGAGACATTTCATCGAGCATGTTTCTGACATTTTTCTTCAATGTAAATTCGAGAGGCTCTAGGTTTCTAGCATTGCTGGTGTTTTTCAAAATAGTAGTTTCAGGAAAGAAAGCCTCTTTTCGTTAGGATTAGTACGATCCTTCACATCTTCAAGGTTAACATCGTATGAGACCTGAATTGTGGTGCTAGGCTTGCAACTATTGCAACTACTAGTTCTCTAAAATTGTAAAGTTGATAGAACTTAAATTTGTTGCAAAGACATTTCTAGCATTTCTTAACGCCAAAATTTTACCAAAATTTTACTCCTCGTTGAGCTATGTGCTGGACTCTTTTTCAGTTAAAGCAATACAGCTCAATAAAATCCATGAGGCTGAGACATTCCATTAATCCTTCTTGTAATCCCCAAGATCTTATGCAGGTAAGAAGCCTGCTCCCTCCCTCTCCAATTCAAATCTCAAAGAGAGCGGGGTTGGCAGCATAGGCGAAGGAGCCAAACCTCTAACTAGTGATTACCTTGCGTTGATATTATAACAATGAGGATTGGTAATTTGTTTCTCTTTCGGAGTTTTTATTTCTACGAGCTTTATGATATATAATGTTTAATTGATATACTTATTTTTCATGCAAATTGCAATAGCGTTCTTTAAATCTCAAGGTTTTCTAGTAGTGAAACTGATGGTATTTTTATGTATTGATCTCAGAAATTGTTGTTGTGATACATGGTGAACATTTTAAGTTCCTCTCTAGGAAATTTCATTGAGCATGTTTCTGGCACTTTTTTTTCCCTGGATCCAGCGTTGCTTTTCATTGTAGAACTACTAATTATAGGAAAGAGATCCTATTACTTATTTGATTAAAATGATTTTAATTTTACCAAAAAATTTATTTTCTTTAGGAGCATTTGTAGGGTCCTTCACATATTCAAGTTTAACATGGTACCCGACGTGACTTGTGGTGATAGACTTCTGTCTGCAGTTGCTGCAACTATAGGCCCTCTAACACTGTCAGGTTTGATGCAACTTCATTTAATTTCATGGTTCTATACTGGATTCTTGTATATTTTTGGTAGAAAGCACATGCATTTCTTAATACCAAATCTGTAGTGACAGATCATGTTACTAGCAACATGTAGATGCCATGGATACAGAGTGATTTTCCCTAGGATTCTAGGAACTATATTTTGTTCCTCATTGAGCCACATACCGGGCTCCTTTTTGTTTGAAGTAACATAATTCAATAAAATGCATGAGGCTGAGACCGTCCATTGATGCTTCTTGTAATCTACGGGTTTTTATGTGGGTAAGAGGACCCTCTTTAAAGATTTCTAGATATAGTAAATGAAAATAATTATGGTAATAAAAAATCTGCACCAAGAGTGCTATTGCAGGTGAGGCTCAGTCCGCCTGGTTGCACTAGTCACTAGTGTGTTCTAAAAGTTGCAAAATGAAAAGAAGTATGTATCCTTAGTAATCTCACCCAAATTGTACAAGTTCAAAACCAAGAACAATTAATGAGAATTAAACATTGAGTTCCCGTTTGGCCCCTCCATTATCATTAAGGGGAAAATTAACATCCCTGAGGTTAACATGCTGGATTATGCGAATTGTGAGCTCACGTGTGATGAAAGCATGAAAATCATAGAGAGTATGGTAGGGGCACCTAGAGTCTTGCCTATTACTTGCAAAATGCCATAATGTTCAAAGATGAGAACTTCTAATTAACTTTTTATTTATTATTTTTCAGTTTTCATCTTAATTTCTATGAAACTATCTTTCAAGTTTTACAGTGATAACTTTACTGTTCATTCTTCCAGTTTCTTTACTTGGTCAGAAGCAATTAAGAAAGATGTGATATTAGAGTTAATGGGGCTAGAAGATCTAGAGGTCGACCTAGAATGACTTAGTCAGAAGCAATTAAGAAGGATATGATTAAAACTAACGTTACGGAGGAAATGACCCGTGACAGAATAGAATGGAAAAATATGATTCATATAGCCGACCCCAAATATTTGGGATAAAGGCTTGGTTGTTGTTGTTGTTGTTATTCTTCCAGTTTCTTTACTTGGGTTTGTCATATTTATCATAATTTGGGCAACTTTACTTCTAACCATTCTTTTTCTTGCCCCTAAATCCGACGCCCTCTCTATTAAGAGAATGCTATTACTTTTTACAGATGCACTTGTTGAGTACTTGATATCATGTGGGATATGATTTTGGATAAAAACAAATAGTTTTGAATACATTAACTGTTTTTTCCTAAATTTGATTTGAAACCTCTCTATTCGGAAAGTGATCTTACTTTTTACACCTGTACTTGCTGAGTACTTGATATCATGTGGCTTATTAATAAACATTTTATTAAAAGCAAACAGTTTGAAAATCACCATTAGCTATTAATTGTTACCTTTATGTCTAACTTGTTACCTTTAGCACAATTTTGTTACCTTTCACAAAGCAACGAATTTTTTATTGGATACCTTTTGTGTCGAGCTTTGTCGCTTTTATCTATTAATTTTACATTATTTTGAACTTTATCACCTTTCGATATTAACTATTACCTTTGTGTCTAACTTGTTACCTCTAGCATAATTTTGTTACCTTTTACAAAATAAACAATTTTTATTTGATACCTTTGTGTCAAACTTTGTCATACTTAGCTATTAATAGTGACATTTGTTTTTGACTTCCTCTTCTTTAGCTATTAATTGTTCCCTTTGCTTCTAACTTTTTCCCTTTAGCATAATTTTGATATCTTTAACAAAATAAAGAGTTTTTTATTTGACACCTTAATGTTGAGTTTTGTCATATTTAACAATTAATATTAATTGTCACAATTGTTTTGGAATTGTCAAATTTAGCTATTAGTTCTTACATTTGCGTGACTGCATCTAACATGTTACGTTTTATTTTGTTACCTTTAGAAAAGCACAGTGTGTTTTGTTTGATACCTTTGTGTCAAGCTTTGTCACATCTAGCTATTAATTGTTGTGTTTATTTTAAATTTTGTCATATTTAGCTACTAATTGTTTTTTTTTGGTTTGGTCTGAGTTGATATATTTAGCATAATTTTTTTCCTTTTGAAAAATATAGAGTATTTTATTTGATAACTTTGTGTCGAGCATTGTCACTTTTTAGCTATTAATTGTTAAATTTATTTTGAACTTTGTTAGCTTTAGCTATTTCAAATTAGTCCCCAAATGTGTTTTGAAATTACCTTTGTGTCTAACTCATTATATTTAACCTAATCTTGTTATCTTTAGCAAAACAAAATTGTTTTTTCATTACCTTTGTGTCGAGCTTTGTGACTTTTAGCTATTAATCGTTACATTTATTTTGAACTTAGTTACCTTTAGCTATTAATTGTTATCTATGTGTCTAACTTGTTATCTTTAGCATATTTTTGTTACCTTTAGCAAAACAAATAGTTTTTAATTACTCTTGAGTTGAGTTTTGTCACCGTTACCTATATTTTTAAGTTTGTTTAAACTTTGTCACCTTAAGCATAAATTTGTTTTTAGCAAAACCAACAATTATTTATTTGATACCTTTGTGTTGTGCTTTGTCATCATTAACTATTAATTGGTACATTTGTTTTGCAGTTTATCATCTTTAGCTACCTTTGTTCCTATGCCTAACTTATTTCTCTTTTATATTTTGTGATTTCTAGGAGCTTATGATATATAATTTTACTTGATATACATGTTGGTTTGGGTGTAAACCAAACCCATCAAGCGAGCTCGAGCGGGCAAGGAGCTCCGTCCGGCGCGCTCGAGCAGGTGAGGAGCTCCTTCAGGCGAGCTCGGCGAGATCTGCAAGCAAGCTCGTGGTCGAAGTTCAGGCGAGCTCGACTACGCAGCGCAGGCGAGGTTGAGGCGATGTCGAGTTGTTGCAGGCGAGCTCGAGAAATGATTCTGGCGAGCTCGGGGCCTTCGCACCCTTATAAAATGGAACCCAGAGCTCCTCTCCTCTGTCGCCAGCCTATCGATTAGGGTTCCCTTATAAAATGGAACCCAGAGCTCCTCTCCTCTGTCGCCAGCCTATCGATTAGGGTTCCCTTATAAAATGGAACCCAGAGCTCCTCTCCTCTGTCGCCAGCCTATCGATTAGGGTTCCCTTATAAAATGGAACCCAGACGGGCGACAGCCTGTCGCCAGCCTATCGATTAGGGTTCCCTTATAAAATGGAACCCAGAGCTCCTCTCCTCTGTCGCCAGCCTATCGATTAGGGTTCCCTTATAAAAGGGAACCCAGAGCTCCTCTCCTCAGTGCTTCTTCTCTTTCCTCACAATTTTCAGTTCCAGTGGCGGTTATCCCGTTTCTCTCTCTCCTGTCTTTTTTCTGCAGCACTCAACAGAAAGTTTGAGGGGGGAATTTAAAGGGGGAAGTTGAGAAGGGGAAATTAAAGAAAGAGGGGTTCTTTTTCCCAACTCTCAAAGATTTTGAGGGGGGATTAAAGGGGGGTAATTAATACTGTAGCTAAAGTATTGATTTGTATTTATTGAGAGATCTTAAGTTTGAGATCCGCTCTTATATTGTAATTTCTTGTTTATTTATAAAAAAATAATTGTGCGGCTCCCGAGGACGTAGGCGAGTTTGCCGAACCTCGTAATTCTTGATGTATTTTTCTTTATACTGTGTTTCTTACTGTTTAGAAGTTTAGCATAGCCCCGGATAATTTTCTAACAACTGGTATCAGAACCTGAAACGATCTAGAGGAAGTCAGATTTAAGTGGAAGCGATAGCCGCAGATGAAGGAAATATGAGATTAGAGAAGTTTGATGGATCAGATTTCGGATTCTAAAAAATACAGATAGAGGATTATTTGTATCAAAAAAATTTATATCAACCTCTCTCAGGGAAGAAGCCGGAGGGTATGAATAAAGAAGATTGGAATCTTCTAGACAAAAAGACCCTCGGAGTTATTCGTTTGACGTTAACCCGCAATGTTACTTTTAACATTGCAAAGGAAAAGATCACGACGGGTTTTATGGAAGCACTCTCAAATATGCATGAGAAGCCATCAGCCTCAAACAAAGTTCATTTGATGAGGCGGTTATTCAATCTACGAATGATGGAAGGTGCATCGGTAGCACATCATCTCAATGAACTCAATACAGTCACGACCCAATTGAGTTCAGTTGATTCATCTCAATGAACTCAATACAGTCACGACCCAATTGAGTTCAGTTGATATTGAGTTTGATGAAGAAGTACGAGCGTTGATCCCTCAATACAGTCACGACCCAATTGAGTTCAGTTGATATTGAGTTTGATGAAGAAGTACGAGCGTTGATCCTTATGTCTTCCTTACCAGAAAGCTGGAACGCTACAGTCATAGCTGTGAGTAGCTCGTCAGGAAGCAACAAGTTGAAGTTCAATAACGTTCGTGATCTGGTTCTCAGTGAGGAGATCCGACAGAGAGAGTCGAGTGAAGCTATAATCCCTTCAGTTTTGCATACAGAGTCAAAAGATAGAAATTCAACCAGAGGAAATAGATTAGATGACAAGAGGTCCAAATTCAGGAATCCCTACAGCTTGAAAGCTATCGAGTGTTAGAAGTACGAGAAAATCGGGCACTACAAGAATCAATGCAAGAGTGTACAGAAGGAGTGGGAGACAAAGACAGATGCAAATATTGATTCCATCTCAGGAGGAGATGATGCATTGATATGCTCTTTGGAGAGTAAGAAGGTGTCTTGGGTGTTGGACTCCGGAGCATCATTCCCTGCTATTTCTCAGAAAGAATTCCTCGAGAAGTATATACTCGAATACTTTGGAAATGTATACCTTGGTGATGATCAACCATGTGTCATTATTGGCAAAGGTATAGTGAAAATTAAGTTGAACGAGTCAATATGGGAGCTGAAGGATGTTAAACATATTCCTGACC